TAACACCGTCAGTAATAAACTGTCATGTGATGAAAAAAAGACAAAAATGCCCCTCAAGTTCCAAAAAATTCACTAACACCGTCAGTAATAAACTGTCATGTGATGAAAAAAAGACAAAAATGCCCCTCAAGTTCCAAAAAATTATCTTCTATCATTTTCTCTTATTTGCAGGGTTAAAACTCCTCCTATTTCCTCGCTTCTTCCTCCAGACTATTTCGTATCCTCTTCCTCTAGCCTATTTCCTCCCTCCACCTCAGGCATAGATTCCTTCTCCCACTGCACAAATCTTTAGGCCAGAGCGAGTGCTCATCGTCGTCCTCTTACTATTACATTGTTGAGGTTAATTGATCGATGGAGATTAGATCTTTCTTCAATTTTGATTTGGGTTCAGTTTGTTGGTTTCTTTAAATTGAGCAGGGTTTCTTAATTTGGCGATAGTATTGATTCTCGGCAAGCGAAGTTACAATCGATTATGATTTTCTAGGTTGAGAGACATGTTAAAGAGAGGGGATTTGGGAGCAGGTTTCTGGTTATTTTGAGTTGATGATAATTTGCTGCTAAATGGTTGTGTTTATAAAAAAAATATTTATGTTTGATGGAAAAACTGGTTTTTCTCCCATTTGGAGATAAATAAAACTTAGCATATTGGGATAACATTTTAGACAAGAGAAGTCGCTGAATCAAGCAAGATGAGGGAGGTGACGGAGGAGGAGGAGAAGAAGGGTGGAGTTACTGGATTGGTTGTTGGAGGGCTGGACGATGGAGATTGGAGAGGCAGTTCGGGTGGGCTTTTAAAGGGTGTTTTGTAACTGAGATTTATATTTGGGGGCTTTTAATTATTGAGATTTAATTTGGGATTAATCTAAAAGGGCATTTTGGTCCATTCCCAATAATGTGTAACAACGTGAGGGGGGTTTACAGGAAAAAGTTCAAACTTCAGAAGGGTTATGTGAGACACCCCAAAGCTCAAGGGGTTAAGTGGAATAAACAAAGTTTATGGGGGTTATGAGCAACTCCCCACCCCACACACACACACAAAAAAAAAAAGATCAAGGGTGGTTAAGTGAAATCCACCCAAATAAAAAAAAATGACGTAGTAAGCCACTCACGACAACCAAGGTGATCATGGTGAAAACATCCTCAGTAATTTGGTCGAAAGGAAGATCTACCTACATTAGGCTATGATGTTAAAGTTAAACATCATCTTCAGGAAGCTTAGTGTGAAGTTGGTGGATGAGCATTCAAGGAAAGTCAAGTGGCTGGTTAAGAAAGTTGTTGCGGCATCAACTAAGGCATGTAAACAATTTCATCAAAATTTATTCTAAACTCATTGAATACAGCAATAATTTAATGTAATATATTTATGACCAAAAAAAGGGTACTGTTTCTTTATGTATTTACTGCTGAATCATTTATTATATTCATACTATTTTATTGATCCAATGTAGCTAATCAAGAATACATACTATTCTAATTGCATCTTCTAATAATTTTTAACTAATTTTAAGCATATCGATTTCATCAAAGTTTATTTTGCTTTTCACTGATTACAAATTCAATTTGATGCAAGTATTGATGAACAGAAAATTGCGCCATGTTTATTCATTAATTTACTGCTGAATCATTTATCACATTATTCTATTATATTGAATCCAATGTAGCTCAACATTTCCTTGAAAACACATTATATTTCTAATGTCCGTCTTGTCATTAATTTTAACTAATTATAAGCCTATTGATACTAACAGCCTGATACGTCGAATCCAACACCCCCAGTCAGTGATACTCTGGATATTGTTGCCAGAAAAGAAGGTACAAACAACAAACACCACCAAAATTTCAGACTTTGCAGGTTGATCATGATTTGAAAGTAAAATCACAGTGGTAGGAACCTGAATTTGATCCGATCTGCCGCCTTTGAGAACGTAATAATGCGCTTTGTGTCCGGCTTAGGTACTGGGAAGAGATGTTTTAGAATGTTCCCTATCCTTTCTCCAACCTGTATATTTCCAAAACCAGGATAGAAAAGTATAGCAGAAGGCTTAACTAGAAATCAAGCACCTTCCAAATTAAAATGCAGGTTATCTCAGCATGAGATAAATTGAAAGCAAATCACAATTTTGCCTACTTGAAAACAGTTAATTACAAAAAATTTATGCAGTGATCAATAGTCAATTTTGAAATACCTCATAATTTGTTTTAATAAACTAGCAACATATATATGTTAGTTTTTACATTATTTCGTCACTTCCTTCATCTTCTCTTTTTCTTGTTCTTTTTCTATCCTAATACTATAAACTCGCTTTCTCTTCTTTCTCTACACTAGATCATCCTCACCCGAAACCAAAATTCTCAACATAGATTTATGTTATCTCCAATATCCAAACCAGGGATACAATATCAAGATAAATAACTTGATTTCAGTTTGTAAAGCAATATTACGAATAATGATCAAGATAACTGCAATGATACAAGATAAATCCAAACCATAGATGGGATATTAAGATAACTGCAGTTTTCAGTTTACTTTTCATTCTGATTGTTTCTATGAATATTATGTAAACTTACTCCTACCACCAACTTTATCAAAAAGCCTTCCAGAAAATCTATTTCAAATAAAGATATTCTGTGATCACCAACACCAAGTAAACCCTATGAAAGATAAAAGAAACGTACATGTGGCGTGCCGCACAAAGGAAGGAGGCGGAGAGCGAAAGTATTGAGAATGATTAGGAGATTTAAAAAAGGTAAGTGTTGATAAATCTCAAACCAAAGCAGTCCGTGAATAGTTTGTTCAAGATATCTTTTAAGCATATCGAGTCAATATACAAACATAATAAAGAGCAATGAGCAAGTCAGAATGGTAAAATACCTTGGTTGATAAACTGTCGATAATCAAATGCGGGTATGCCTCGGGCATCGTTCCTAATTCCTTTTTGTCTTTAATACTATGTCTTGAAGTCTGAAAGTAAATTAATCATGCAGATAAGCATATATGAAGTTTTCAATTTGAAAAGATAAAAGAATAATAAAGAAAATAAAGTGAAATATGAGATGAAACATATCACGTACCACATCAGACAGACCAAAGTATGCAGTTGGACCATATGGCAAATGGCAAACAACTAAACTATTTGGGATGCCTTGCTTCTCATATACCAAAATAACATCTGTAAATTCGTGTGCACGACAAGATTCTATTATTTCTGAGAGCACCTGTAAAGGTATATTTCAAGAAATTAGTTGTTGGTACCTTTAAATTCAAATACAGCATAAGATTTATACTGATCTAGAAGGTAGACTCACACTATTCTCTATCCATAAGAAACAGAAGTACTAAAGTTAATGCCCAAAAAAAATAACAAACTTTAGGAGTTGTCAGCAAAATCAAAAAAATTAAATTAGGATTACAAATTATTATAGTATGCAATATGAATCTATTGGCAGAAAAATTAATCCTAAAAACAGTTGAATATACCTAAACAGTCACAAACTTTTAACTACAGTGCAGGCAAGTGCAATGCATCTGTAAGCTAAGAAATATTTCATGTTAAAACTAATTATAAGCATAGATTATTAACTTTAGATGGATTCTAGGTCTAGATTAATAAGATGTGATGTTGTACTTGATGAATTTTAATTAGTATACTTACAATACACATGATTTAAGAACATCACCACTAAATCATAACTAACTGGTGATCAAAATTTATTACTATCTCTTAGCTGACCATCATCTCTAAATTTGTCAGGATTTATCGTTGCTTTTTGTTAAATTATACTATTTAACATTCATGTGATACAATTTTCTAATCAATTAAAAAGACACATATCATAAACATTATCTTACATAATGCAAAATAATGAGTTACGTAGCACGTGTTTTCCAACATCGGTTAGGATTTGAAACAGATGTTATACAAGTCTTCTTCCCCAGGAAAACCCATATAAAAGAACATTCAGAGTATGCCAAATTGCAAATGGAGTTGAGAATTCCAGAAATTTCCACTATAAGAGATAATCACCAACATTGAGTGATTCATCATGTGCTCATTATTCAATGATGATGCAAGGATGGCCCAAGATTTAATAGGCACAGCAAGAAGTTTGAAAATCAGCTGATTTTCAACGTATCATACTCAATATTGTCAACACATTCTTGTTGAGCAAGATGTTCCTAAGATGATTTCAATGGACTACCTGCAGATGAAAGTTCCTCATCTCTCATTGAGTCATTGTGGACAACTGTTTATAATAACTTGATTTTTTTTAACTTCATTTACAAGAAATGAATGTTGTGCATAGACTTCATAAAAATCCTGAATAAATAAAATTGATGAAAGATAAAAGACTTTAATTCTTACAGCTTCTATTTTTTATTATACGTTTGAAGCTCATGTTTGCATTTCTTGCCATAGCTCTGGACCATGTTTAAAGAAAATAAAAGTTTACTACCAATATTTGAAGACAAAGGATAGAAACTAACAAGAAACTTAATATCTTTTGAGAGTACACAAACTTCAAAGCCAATTGTGACTTTGTGATAAGGATTCATATGGTAATAAAATGTTAGGTTAACTTGTGGAAAATATTTGTTAGCTTCAACCTATAAGGCTATAACTAGAGTTCCATATAATTGTGAGGATATTAGGTTGACATGCGCCTAAATAAACAGCTAGGCATGGCAATAGAAGGCTAAACTTAAGGAAGTGGAATTTATTTTTAATAGGAGATAGCATGATATTGGATAATAATCCAAGGAGCCAATATTGACAAAAAAATGTAAAACAAAGAAGAAATGCCAACCTGACCTCCACGATTCATTCTTGTTGAGTTTGGGAAGACGAATTTCAACTCCTAGGAAATTGACCATCCAAACTTAGCAATTCGATAGAAAATTTTCAGCAAAAGACTGTCTGTATTAAAGCATTAGAGCATATACACACCCAAAAAAAATCATACCTTAACAAACTGGACAAGTGGGGCACTTGGATCACGTGATGTGGTCAACAAAATTTTTGGGTCTCTAATAGATGCATTGGCATACTCATCATCGATGAGGTTCCTTGGCACTTGCATGATGCAAAAATAAAAAACTCAGCACCCACAAAATTCATAAATTCTTTAAATTATATTATTTAAACAATTGGAGTTATTGCCACCAAAACTCAAAAGAAACAAGTTGCAAGGAAAAGGAAGGTAGAGAACAGACATGAAAGAATAAAAATATTCGGACGATCAACACAAATGCATTAGTATACTTTGAAAGCAAGTGTATAAAAGACTAAAAATATCTGTATATTTCTCAGGAAAACAAAGAAATACGAAAAAGCTCACTGCCTACTGGTACACTAAGTTAATAAAAAACCACTAAATGCGTATTCAGATTTAAAAGCTTCAGGGAAGTTTGATCAATTGGCAATCTTACCGCAGAATACCATCTCATAAAGGGTAAATTACACTAAGCCCCCATGAACTTTCAATATTATACTAAATCCCCAAAAACTTTTGCAGAAAACCCCCATGAACATTCAAAATGCCTTTGTATGTTGTGATTTTTTTTCTTCTAATTTATGGGGTTTTCCTACAGAGCTCAGAAAGTTCATGGGGTTTTCTGCAACTCCAAGAAGTTAATGGGTTCATGGGGTTGCAAAACACTGAAAGTTCATGGGGGTTTACTGTAATTTGCCATATCATAAAATGTTCAATTCAAAATAACACTTTCAAATTAATTCAAAAAATTATCGTATATGCTACAATTACCTTAGTCAATGTCTCCAATGTACAAAATTTTCTCCTAAGATGCAGAATCAATTATATTTTCCAATCATTGGACTCATTTTCGGGTGTCATCAAATTGATTTATCAGGTGATACAGTCTAGCTTTACCAATTAAAATTGGTATAAGATTTAACATTTTTTAGAAGCTCAATGGTTTAATACAGGTATGTTCCCAAAAATAAAAATAAAATTAAACTTGTAAAATGACAAACAAAATTAATGATGAAATAAAATGTACCAGCGGTCTGCTCATCTTCAAGATCCACTTCTGCCCTGAGCTTTGCCTCTTCATTCCTAAGCTCAGTCGGAATCGGCTTTCCCTCTACAGGCCAAATCAACAACAACAACATTAAAAGCATCAGAATTTTTTTTAAAAAAAATTAGGGTTTTTCTGTGTTCCAAAAATCACCTTGAAGAGCTTGTCGAATCTTGCGCTTCTTTTCGTACCATTCTCGCTCCTTCCCTTCTAAGCTCTTCCTGTAGAGGTACTCTCTCCTCTGCTTCAGGTATCTCCTCAGCTGGCCTCCGTTGCTCCCCGACATCGATTATGATGAAGATGAACAAAATTTGAAACCCTAACCCTAAGACCTTTTTTCTTTTTTCTTTATTTTTTTTTTGTCTTTTTTCCTCCTCTCTTTTTTTGCATCCAAAATCTCTGCGGCTTAAACCCTAGTAATCGCTCGAAGAAAGAAGGCTAGTGCGCAAGGCCACTGACCCGCTTATAGCGGTGTGCTGAATCCTTGGGGGGGGATCCGTTACCCATTTTGCTTTATACGCTCGGTGCAGGCACGTTAACGGGTCCGGTTAGTGACTTATTTCTAAGAGGGTAAAATTCACAATCATAACATTCATATATTTTTCCCTTTAAAAGTGGGAGTTGGGGATGTTAGGGTATTCTCACTCGTCAAAGTATAGCCATTTGCCAACAACGAACATGTGTACTTATGCATGCAATGTTCCAATCAAATTGATGGTCAAGACCAGCAAGGATCTCGACTTAACCGACTCGTCGAGTCGACATCCCCTAATGTCGACTCGAAATGTGATACTTGTCGATCATCTTGTCAAAGATGACTCACAACGAGCTCACTCGACCAATTACTCGACGCCTTACGAGGTTGACTTGAAGGTGTTACTTCTCGACGAAGCCAAAGAACGACTTTAACCTCGAGCCTCTCCCACTAACAACATGTCAGCATCGCATTTAATGTTTGATAGACTTCATCATGCCTCTGGCCTCGATAGTTTTCATGACTTATTAGGCCACGTCGGCACCGTCATGCCCCCGATAACTTCTCATTTAATGTTGAGGTGATCTCTCCTCCACTCGCCAATCGGCACGTGTAAAGTAGGCACTAACGCAGCAGCCAGCCCATGCTCGCTCACCGCCATCCTGTGCTCGGCCAAAGTGTCCATTCTATCCTTATACCATCAGTATAAATGGAGGTATTATTCTAACATAAAGAGGACTTTTTCTCTGGGATCTCTGATCTAAAGAGAATTTTTTTCTGTAAATTATACTGCATTACACACAAGAACTCTCATAGTTCTTCATTTCTCCACTCAAGTTCACCAGCTGACTTGATCGCCGGAGGATCCACAGGGGAACCAAACCCCACCCTCTTACGAACTGTTACTTGTGCAGACTTCATCCACTCAACTCAGAACCAGATATTTGGCGAAGGAAGCGGCCCCTCATCAACTTCACCTAAATCATATTTTGACACTTAACATCAACAGTTTAGCACCCACTGTGGGGCCTTCTTTTTTTTCAAGACTAATCAGTCTCGCCCTGAAGGACTACATCAGAGGTACGTTATTCAAGCTTAGCTTGATAAAACAGCTCAAAAGATTTCTCAGTCCTTCCAACAACAACTCGCTGCCTTCACCAGCGAACTCCTTAGCCAGCTTCCATAGCCGCAACAAGCTACTCAATTGTTCCCCCTCCTTCTGAAGACCGGAGATCGGAGACTCATCTCCCTTCTGGAGCGTAGCAAATAGTCTAGCCTCAAACTCCTCATGTTGTTGCCAAGCAGCAGAGAGATCACGTCGAGTACGCGACCCCTCCACTACATCGGTCAACTCACCTCGAGGAACCTTGACGATGTCTCCTTCCTCATTCTGAAGCCACTGGCGAGACTCTTGGCCCTAGTCACCATAGGGATTGTGCCAAGGGAGCAGTCTCTAAGACTCTCCCTCACCACCATGCCTCTTCGGCACCCTTTGCTACCATAGGGGCCTCCGAATACGGTAGGGTGTACAGACCGATAGCCGAAGCCATTGGGGGGAACACCCCCTCTCTGATGATTTCACGAAATCCTCATGTGAGAAGTTTTCAAGATGCCTTACGTGAAAAAGTACAAGGTCGAGGGAGACCCCTCTGAGCATGTCCAGAACTACTATGATGTAATGAGTATACTCCAAGCATCGAAAGCAGTTATCTGCCGATACTTCCCTATTACTCTTTCAGGGAGTGCAAAGCTCTGGTGGAATGCTCTTGAGAAGAAGTCCATCAGCAGCTTTTAGCAACTCAGTCGGAAGTTCATCCACCACTTCCTGGCTGACACCAAGTAGAAGCTCCCCCCTCATGTGTTAATTTAGATGAGACAGAAGCCTGGAGAGAGCCTTCTAACATATTTTAAGAGGTTCCAGGCTAAGAGGCTGGAGGTCAACGACCTAGGGAGTGCGATCACTATGTTCGCTCTTGTAACTGACCTGCAAAGCAACAAATTGGCTGACTCACTTGACAAGAAGCCAGTTGCCAATTATGAGCAATTGATGGCCAAAGCTCATGGGTATAAGGATATGGAGGATGCCTGAGCTTACAAGGTGGTAGCCAAGGCCACAGAGACCTCCACAACCACGACTTCAACACCAGGCGCAGCACCGGTACCACGGGCACCAGCAACAACATCGGTGGCAGTGTTGACACCCAAGTCAGCTAGAGGCCCTCTCACAAAGCAGGAGTGGCCAAGAGACCTCTTGAGAGTCGACTCCTGCTCTAATCGGTCCAACAGGAGGGACTGACGGAGAGACTCGGCGTCGAAACCCGCTATCACTATCTTCAACACCTCCCTCACCAGAGCTCTCACCATGGTCCAAAAGGAGGGGCACTTCAAGGAGCCCGCTCCTCGAATGAGGATGGATCCTCGGAATCGAGATACCTAGTAGTATTGTCGCTATCATAGGGATCACGACCATCTCACCAATGATTGCCATATTCTGAAGAGGGATATTGGGGATTTGATTGAGAGGGGGTACTTGAAGAAAGTCATCTCTCAGAGAGACTGAAGGGAAGCTCCCCTAACCAAAGCAGATAGGAGATCTTGCTCGCGGTTGCCTTAACCTCAATCGCCTCAGGATAGCCAACCCCCAGAGCCCAGCCATAAGGGGGTCATCAACACATCAATGGTGGTCTCACCGCTTGAGGGTCGTCTAACAATGCTCGGAAGAGGTATGTTAAGTAGGCGTTGTGGATCGACCAGTGTGACAAGAGGTCGAGAGCGGGAGGAGCCCATCTCTTTTGGAGATGCCGACTTGAAGGGCGTTGAGATGCCTCATGACGACCCTATCGTCATAACAGCTAGGATCGATGGCTTCCAAGTAAAAAGGATCATGGTCGATACTGGAAGCTCAGTAGATATCTTATGTAGTCGACGCCTTCAACCAGATGGGCATCGACAAATCTCGGCTGCTCCCCTGCAGAGGACCCCTCATTTTCACCGGTCAATCTCTCCTACGTGAAGGGATGATTACTCTCCCCTTAACAGTCAGAGAGTACCCTAGGTAATCCACCATCCAAGTCCAATTCCTGGTGATGGATCTCAAGTCGGCCCATAATATCATCTTGGGTAGAACCACCCTCCATCTCTTGTGGACCATCCCTTTAAATTACCACCAAATGGTCAAGTTTACCAATTATTAATGGAGTCGGGATCACCAGGAGCAACCAACGAGAGGCCAGGTCCTGCTACCTGCTCTCGACTAAGGGTAAGGGTGCACAAGAGGCCCTATCTATTGAGAAGACTTGTCTCCAAATAGAGAAAACTACGGAGCAACAGAGGATGACACCGGTGGAAGAGCTCTAAGAGATAACAATTGACCAGCAGGGACTGAAGACGGTCAAGATTAGATCTAGCCTATTGGAGCCCTTGCGAGGATCATTGGCGGAAATTCTGCAGGCAAACGCTAATGTGTTCACCTGGAGTCCTGAAGACATGCCGGGGGTTCCCCTCGAGGTGATAAGCCAAGAACTGGCTGTCGACAGGCACATTAAGCCTGTACAATAGAACAAGAGACATCTCCGTCTGAAACGACAAAAGGCGGATACCGACGAAGTCAAATGGCTCCTGAGAGTTGGCTACATTCGGGAAGTCCAATACCCCGAATGGTTAGCCAATCTGGTATTGGTGAAGAAAGCGCTAAACAAATGGAGGATGTGAATGGACTTCATCAACCTCAACAGACGTTGTCCTAAGGACAACTATCTCCTACCTCGAATTGATCAGCTAGTCGAAGAGAGTGTTGGACATGAGCTGCTCAGCTTCATGGATGCCTTCTCCAGCTACAACCAAATCTTCATGGCAGAACATGATCAGAAGAAGACCTCCTTCATTACCGACTTGGGGACCTATTGCTACAAGATGATACGTTCAGACTCAAGAACGCTGGATCCACTTACCAGAGACTTGTTAGCAAAGTCTTCAAGCACTAGATCGACCGCAATATAGAGGCTTATGTAGACGACCTGTTGGTGAAGTAAAAACAAGCCTTAGCCCTCATATCAGATCTGGAAGAGACCTTCTCCACCCTCCGACACTACCGTATGAAGCTCAATCATGCCAAGTGTGCCTTTGGGTGCAATCGGGAAAGTTTCTAGGGTTCATGATCACACAGAGAAGCATAGAGATCAACCCTGAGAAGATAGCCGCCATAGAGTGACTGCCCAAGCCGCGCACATTGAAGGATATTCAGAAGCTAAACTAAAAGATAGCAGCGCTAGGTTGATTCCTCTCCAAATCTGTTGAGAGGAGCCTCTCATTCTTCAAAACATTAAGGCAAAGAAAGAACTTGAAGGAGAACATGATTTGGACAACTGAATGTAGTGCAGCATTTTAGGATCTCAAGGCCTACTTGAGTACCAAACCACTGCTGAGCCAACCCATAGAGGGGAGACTTTGTACCTATACATAGCCATCTCCTTCGAAGCAATCAGCTTTGTTATTGTTCGAGAAGAGGAGAACATCTAGAAGCCCGTATACTATGTGAGCATTATTCTGAAAAGTGGGAGAACTCAACTACCCCCTCATAGAAAAGGCTGCCTTTGCCCTTATCACCACTGCGAGGAGACTCCGCCATTACTTCTAGGCACATGTCATAATTGTACGGACAAGTCTACCTCTGAAGAAAGCACTGGGCACCCCACAACCTCTGGGAGAATGGTCACCTCGTGGGTAAGCTTTATTAACTGAAAACACGTTCTCTTTGCAAAAATACAACATATAGATCTATTTTTATACATAATCTAGTGTGTTAGGCTCACAAATCACATAAAAACATTATTAAAACATTTTAAAACATGGGTATAGGATTGGGCGAGATGAAACTCGCCTGAGGGATGATAAACAACTCCAAAAAAACACTGGAAAAATATCCTCCTACGCTGAAAACCACTGGATCCCGCTCAAA